ACGCCTTCCTGGCCCGCATTCACAACCGTGTGCAGCTGCTGGGGCAGCCAGTGAAAGACCTGCTGCGCCATGCAGTCGAAGGTGTTGCCTCGATCGCAGTGGGCTGTGTTCAGAAGATCCGTCATCATGCTGAACACCCTGTGGACGCTCTCCTGGCCAGCATCGACAATAGTCTTTAGCTGCTGCGGCAGAAAATTCCTGGGTGGCGCGAAGAGGTGGTTCGCCACTTTCTTGGCCATGCAGTGGAATGTGTCTGCTCTGTTGCAGCCTTCCTCTTCCAGAAGATCACGGATCATCGCGAAAACCCTCTCGACGCCCTCAACGCCTGCACCGACAACCAGGTGCAGCTGCCGGGGCAAGTGCTGAAGCGGATCGTACGACGCCAGCGGATCCGGAAACGTGACGCTTCTTTCGCCAAAGTCCTGATTGATGAGGTCATCCCTGTTACCGACAATTTGCAGCGAGCAATGGAGTCCGCCAAAGTTGATCGTCAGGGTCCTGCCCTCCAAAGCAGCGCTTGGTGCCGTTACATTGCAGGTCCCATCGAATGTAAAGCCCCCAGGGAGGACCCCAAGAATCACTGATGCTTTTTCGACTGTGTCGATCACAGTGCCCTGAATAAACTTAACCTGGGCCGCGTTTCCCCTTGCTTCCGCCTTCTCCCACGCATTCTCAAGATCTTCCAAGTCGCCGCTCAGGGCATTTCTGACAGTACCGACGCCCTCCTCCGCGACTTCACCCCCCGTCTCTACCACTGTCTCGCCAACGTCACCCCCCGTCTCCACCACTTTCTTGCCAATACCCAATGGGTCCCAACGTTGGAGCATTGCCACATCGCGAGGCCGATTGCTCCTCTCCCGTGCCGGAAAGTTGGAGCGTTTTTCGGCCACAAGGTCCTGACACGGGGCTTGCAACAAACCCGAAGATACAGTAGCCCTGCAGCTGGAGGTCTACACGGTTTCAGCTCTCCTTGTGGGCATCGGGGTCGTAGTTGCGCGTCTTGCGCTGGCGGTGGTGCTTGTCCAGGACCCTCTTCAGGACGTCGCCTGCTTCATGGGGATCCCGAGTTTTCTTCTGTGCCATGGCGACGTGCTGGACGTCCAAGCCTTGGCTTCAACATCAGGCTGCCTTCACGTATGGAAAGCTGCAAGAAAACCAAAAAAAAGGACCGGCCAAGCAACCGACATGAGCTTTCAACGCCTCGATTTCGGTATGTGCAGCGGTGAGCTCGGCTTGCTGCAATTGCATCACTGTCTCCATTTGTGCCATCTGCGGAACAAGTTTTAGGGATGATGTGCCAAGCCGTGCTCAGGCTCCCCGCCCCCACACCCACCTTGATGATCATGAACTCCAGGTTGCGGGCCAGATGACCGAAGCCTGCAGTGCCATTGCTGGCATTGCCTTCCTGGTCAGGTCTTGAAAATCCGAATCTGATCTTGCAGCTGCAGCTACACATGCGTGGCAGTGCAAACTTCACAGTCGGGTAGCAACTGCAAAGATCGAATCAAGCAGAAGCAGAATGCTTCTCTCACTCAGAAATTTGCTGGAGGCCTTATGCGGCATGGGGACTGAGTTCGCTTCCCCAAAATCATGCACCAAGTTCTTCTCCAACAATCGTTCCACCTGAGCGGTCAGGATGAAGGTGGTGTGAGGTGTTGACTCCCGGGCCACAGCTCTGAACCGTCCCGGCCTCGCGAGCCACCTTGGGTGACTCGAACACCTTGTAGGAGTGGACACCGGGAGGTCCGGAGAGCCATCCACGTGGCCCCACCAGCCAAGTAATCACAAGAAGGTGGCTTACCTTGCTCAGAGACAGCCGAACACAAGCTCGTCTTTCCCTCGTCATCTTCGACATGACACGAACTCTAAGCGCATCGTACTCTTGATTCCGTGGACAATCTGGGAGAACAGAGATAAACGAATACACAACGAGAAGAGCTTGTTAACTAATTCTGCAGCTCTTACTAATCAGCATCCCCTCCGCAAGCATCTGACCCTGAAATATGCCGCCTCTTTGCCTACGAAACAAAAGCAAACAAGGCGCCGCACAGCAATGGAACTCTGACAAGGAACTGACGAGTAAGCTAGCCCCAGGCCTAGCGGGTTAGCATCCCGCGCTTCCTTTTCCGACCCTTCAGACACTCGTATGCGTGATTTCTGACTTCGCTGCAATCCCAGTCGCCTGAATCATGCCGACGCAAGGAGGCTTGCCACACTTATTTTGCTTCATTCACGGTTATCTGAAATCTCAGGCCTGATGGCTGCGTGTCATGCCATGGTTGAGGCTGACACACACACACACACACTCGAACTCCAGGCAAACCCTGGTGTGAGTTCTCACGAGTGATATCAACTCCAATCAAAGTCAGAGACTCAGAGGAGGCATCAAAGAATGTAAAATGTTGTGGGAGGTCTTCAACAGGCTCGAGTTCCCTT